CGTGTCGATGTGGTGATGTGTGTGTGTGTGTCGTTTCGTGTAGGTGTGTCGTCGTGTGTGGTGATGTGTGAGTGTGTGATGCTGTGCGTGTGTGTGTGTGCCGCTGATTTTGAGTCTGCAAGTCAATCGTATAATTCGTGTGCCGTAGTGATTCAATATAAGTGGGATTGGCATGCGAGTATCTATTCATAACCGCGACTTTTCATGATAATAATCTGTCACATATTAGAAACATCAAATGTCGCATCCGCCTTAAGTTGGTTAATAAATAATAATAGAGACGGTCGAATAAAATAAGTAGTTAGGTTACTATGCACACGGTCGCGCGCGCCAGCAAGATAACAGCCCTTGCTATTTTTTACACCACAGCTTCACTACAGGGCTGATTTAAAAATCTATATATTTAGTATTAAACAAAGGCGTGCGACATTTTGTTCCCGTCCGAAAACATTTGTTCCACGGCCGAGGACCAGCGCCGTATCTCGCAGCAATGGCGTCTATTGATAGATGGCGGTCAGACATACAAATTAACATAAATTCAATAATAATATCGCTGTCCGATCTATCATATTCGATAGAAATAGAGCCATAACCAAAATTATCTCATTAATCGCATATATCGAAATATAAGAACGAAACGCACATGCATTAGCAAATCATAATCGAACAATTTAAGGGCGTGCTATAGCATGCTTTTTACCCATATATATAATCTCCTTGCGAAGGCTATATCACAGATCTGTGCCTATGAATTATTTACGCAAGGCGCGCGACGCTGTTATATCGAAAAGTTTACCAGTTTACACTCGAGCTATGCCGACTTCAATTCTCCACCGTCAGCGTAAGATCAGGTATCATGTGGTTCATTTCCATAATAATCATATCGATTCGCGATTAAATATCATTTGAATCATCCTACGCACGCCACTGCTACATCACGATGTTATACCACTCGCACAAAGATATATTTCAGAAATAAATGACAGATCCACAAAGATTTCTTTCAACGAAAGTGACAACTCAAACTTACCTTATTACATAGATTAAAACATTGGATTGACTATTTAGCACTTGAATTTAGCCATTAACGTCGCGCAACCAACGCTGTACTGCCTTTATTCGAATTATAACTAATCCCTGAACACGGTAACGAGTTGCGCAATGCATGCGACACACTGACACCTCATGCACTGCGGCTGCAACGCGACGGCGGAAATTCAAAATTAGCTTCGCTTAATATAACCTCGGATCATCACTTGATCGGGCAAACAATATAAATACGCAGCTTAATTTCCTTACACTGTTGGCCAGCGAGAGCCGAATAGTATTACAACGCTAATATTCCCTGTTCCTCTCACAGCGTCTCCAGCGTCAATTCACGACAGACCACCTGACCGGTCGGGCGTATATAACTGGCGCAGTGTGTATGCGCGGCGTGTTTTGCGCGCTCTGCTCCTGCAGGGATAATGATGTCGCTAGAACTGGTAAGAACAGCCGAGTGACACCGCGAAATAAAGCTGCGGCGGTCTGGCCCCCTCGTCGTTCTCGATTTCCGAAACCTCCCGACGCAGACCCGTGGGGAAAGGGCGGGGGCATTGCAGGTAAGAGGTGCAGGGTAATACCCGCACGTTCAAGCAGTTTCAGATGTCAGACGATTGTCGTACTATGACAGGCTAACTCGCGTAAGACACCTGCCGTAGTGTGACGTATCCCATAACCGTCAGATTGCTCAGTGTCTGTACGTGAGGCTAAGTGGCGGAGATGGAGGGAGGACGGGGGGCCTTCTCAATATCGTCGCAATGCTTTACGCTGTGGTAGCGCGGTGTAATCAGACGTTCAAGTATCAACGTACCAGCCTTATGTGGCCTATTATAGAGCAGTATGATTTACAATGTTTGAAGAAGAACGATGCCCAAGCATGCCGAAATAACGTTTTAGCGAAACCTATCGAAGACTTACAACCCTAGCCACACCGAAATACATTTGCCGGATCAATACCGTAGCTTTTAGCGTGAATGCGTTTCGATTGCCTGGCAACTCGTGTAGTCTCGCAACATGTCATCATATTATTTCAAGAATTAATTTTATTTACCATAGACACTAAAGATTTTCCTATAATAACAGCGTCATTCGCTGCAGATATATTCGTAATGCATTGTAACAAAGAGTAAGATAATAACACATCTATTCGCTGTTCATTTATCTAACTCTTAGATGTGATCAGATTCATTGATTAGTAATAAGATCATAGTAATACGCAATGAACGAAATTCTGCAGTGTTCATTGGCGTTTTTACTACCCAAATAATATGCTCACGATAGGATTTTCATAACTATGGATGCAAACAGACGGTATGAGCTTTAAAAAATCTTCCTCTTTGTCTCCTCGTGTCGCTACTATACGCCATTGTGGCGCCACTCGTACGGAGTTTCTACAATAATACGTACAATTAATTTATTGCGTGAGCTAATGATGTCTAGTTGCACCGCGACATGACGTGCGCGACACCGTTGTGCCAAGTGAGACGATGCATTATGACGGAGCAGGGGAAAAACGTGCGAACAGATTATAGCAACCTATACAACGCACCGTATGAAGAATGGCGCGAAACAAATAACATCGGTGTGCAGACGGCGCGATCCGAATGTTTTACCGCTCGATTGCTGTATAACCGCAGGCAGCTACTATTAATTATGTAAATATACGTTCAGCAGGCGCCAGCCGACGCGCCAAATAGTTTGGAGCAACTATAACGAAAGGGAAGCCTGGGAATTCACGATTGCACGCAGATATTATCGAACTCTGCAAGACGACCGGCCGGCGCAAATACTGTTTCCCACTATGCGCCAAGCTATATTCTTCAGCCCACTCCTCGTCCCGTAGCCCATCCCGCCCACGAAGCAGTCATCACATACGAGGCGAATCGTCGAATCGCAACGCATGTCCGCCGATGCCAACAACGTAATGAAGCCCCATTACCATCTTCTGATATATCGCATCGACACAGCAATCGATAGTATTAATAGTAACCATCAAGCGCCACGTGACAGCCGAGTTGGCTGTACGCGCCGAGGCGCAGCGGCACAGATCAACTTAAGGAGCCGAGAGCTCTGCGTATAGAGGACCGTGCGAGTCCCTAACGTGGGGATAATCACGTACCCTACCGTGGAGGATATCATGTAGGACGAGCGCGCAGTAACAATCACCGAGGATGCATCCGCATGTCCGCGTTGGCCACGTGTTTGCCTCCCCGCCCGGGACTAAATGGCTACCCGTTTTAAGCAACTGTCGCAGATAAATAGATAAATAGATAAATAGATAGAGAGATAGATGGATAGATGGGATTTCTGTTTCATCGCATGTAGCATCTGTGATTTCTGCATCATTGTAACTATGCGTGTGCTTGCTTGATACATGCGATGTGACATTCTCCCGGTTGACTCTAGAAATTAAAAAGTGCAGGTTACGCTTATTAAAAGCACTTAACGTATATTAAAACATTTAATAAACATATATCGATAATTCATTCTGTTAGGAATAAATTAACACAGTATCGGTATAGTGATTCTGTGTTCTTTACTTTTCGCGTTGCTGTACTATACCTATTTTAGAGAAACACCGTTAAGCGACGTGCAATTTTGCCTTTTCACTATTTTCTATAGGCAGCCATAGGCAGTATCGGAACATATTTTCTATTTCTGCTTGTAGTAATTACTTTTTTCAAGTAAACACTCACCTACGCGAAAGCAGGCACTCACGCACACACATACACGCGCGCACGCAATGAAAAATCGACATTTAAGTTAATATAGTTTCAGCTAACACGTGAGACGATCACTCACTGTAATGACACAGGCGCACACGTATATTGCCGAAGAGAGAGAGGGAGATTGAGAGCACCGTGCCGCGATGTTGCGCTCCCCCTTGTTGTGAGGCCGGCACCAGAAGTAATAGTCGCGGCGGCGGCGAGATCTAACCCCGCGAAACGCGCTTCGTCATGATTGCAACCCCGTAATTACACTGCAGAACGCACGCTCCCTTTCTTACAGAAGTTGAGCGCGACCGGGCTAGCTAGCTATGTTGCGCTAAGTTCTAAATTAACGAGTTAATTTATTATAATTAATTAAATTGATTAATTATTCGTGTAATCAATTATTGACAAATGCAGTCGGGGTGTGCGACTTTTCTTAAAATGGAATGAATGCGCGCAACACGAAGTAAGTCGTCGAGGTCCTCTGGATTCGTTTTTTTTTATGCGTTTGGATTTCCGGGCAGCGTCACCTGACTTTAACGACCAATCGGATAGTTGCACAAAAGATGTTCATAGTGTTCAAAACCCGAGTGTGAAATTGTAACGTTTTGAACACTGGATTTACATATAATTCAGTGATTTGATTCCGTGCGCGTGCATGCGCATCTACTCGCACGTCGTCCGCGTGCGTGTGTGTGTGTGTGTGTGTGTGTGTGTGTGTGTGTGTGTGTGTGTGTGTGAGTGTGTGTGCGTGCGTGTGTGTGTGTGCGTGTTTGTGTCTGCATGTGCATGTTAGCGTGTGCGTGTGCTTCATATAAGTAGGATTGCATGCGAGTATGTATTCATGTGTGGATTTATGATAATAATTTCACATTTAGAAACATAAATGTCGCAGTCCTTGTGGTTATAAATAATAATACGGCGATAAATAAGATTAGGTTATATGCAACGCGCACAGATAACAGCGCCTTGTATTTATTTACACAGCTTCTACATGATTTAAAATTCTAATATTTTATATAAACAAAGTGCGCCCGAAAACATTTGTTCACCCGCCCGTATTTGCAGCATGCGTCTATGATGTGCGGTTCAGATACAAATTACATAAAGTCAATATATATCGCTGTCCGATCCTACAATATTCGAAGAAAGAGCCTAACAAAATTTCTCTTAACGCATTATCGAAATATAAGAACGAACGCACATGCACCTTTACAAATCTAATGAAAATTAAGGGCGTGATAGACATGTTTTTACCCTTTTATCTCCTTGCAAGGCATATCACGATCTGTGCCTGATATTTACGAAGCGCGCACCTGTTATTCGAAAAGTTTACAGTTACACGCGCTATGCCATTCAATTCTCCACGTCAGCGTAGATCAGGTATCATGTGGGTTCATTCATTATCTATCCATTCGCATTAAATATCATTTGAATTCTAGCCGCCTGCACATCGATGTATAACTGCACAAATATATTCAGAATAATGACATCACAATATTTCTTTCACAAGTGCAACTACTTTACTTTTACTAGATTAAACATTGATTGCTAATTTAGCATTGAATTAGCATTACGCGCGCAACAACGCTATGCTTTATTCAAGTTAACACCTGACACGGTAACAGTTGCGCAATGCCTGCGACACACTGACACCCATGCACTGCGCTGCAACGCGACGGGAATTCAATTAGCTTCGCTTAATTACTCGACACACTTGATCGGCAAACATATAAAACGCAGCTAATTTCCTACCTGTGCAGCAGAGCCGAAGTTTACAACGCTAATATCCTGTTCCTCTCCAGCGTCCAGCGTCAATTCACGACAGACACCTGACCGGCGGCGTATATAACGGCGCGTGTGTATGCGCGGGTGTTTGCCGCGTCTGCTCTGCAGGGATTTTCGTAGACGGTAAGACGCCGGGGACACCGAATAAGCTGCGGCGGTGCCCCCTCGTCGTTTCGTTTCCGAAACCTCCCGACGGACCCCTGGGGAAAGGGGGGGGCATTGCAGGTAGAGTGCAGGGTATACCGCGCACGTCAGAGTCGATTGTCAGACGATTGTCGCATCAGGCTCTCCGTAGACACCTGCCGTAGTGTGACGTATCCCTACGCAGCTCCGTGTGTACGTGAGGTAAGGGGCGGGATGGAGGGAGGAGGGGGGCCTTCTATAACCGCATGCTACGCGTGTACGCGTGTAATCGAGTTAAGTATCACGTCCGCTTATGTGCCTCTTATAGAGCATATGATTTACAAATGTGAAGAACGATCTCAATGCCGAAAAACGTTTAGCGAACTATCGATGACACACTCGCACCCGAAATACTTTCCGGATCATCCGTGCTTTTGCGTGATGCGTTTCGATTGCCTGGCACTCGTGTAGTCTCCACATGTTCATCATGAGTATTTCAAGATTAATTTTATTTACCATAGAACTAAGATTTTTCTTATACAGCGTCATTCGCTGCAGATTTCGTATGCATTGTGACAAGAGTAGATAATAACACATTATTGTGTTATTATCTACTCTTGATTGTGACAATTGAGTATAGATCATGTATACGCAAGACGAAATTCCAGTTTCATTGGCGTTTTACTACCCAATAATTGCTCGTAGGTTTCCTAATATGATCAACAAGTAATTCTTGTCTCCTGCGTGTCTATATACGTTGTGCGCATGCGGGATTCTACACAACGTAAATTAATTTATTGCGTGGCATGATGTCTGTGCACGCGACAGACGTGCGCGAACGTGTGCCGGTGAGAGATGCTTTGACGGAGCGGGAAACGTGCGAACGTTATAGCAACCTAAACAACCACGTATGAAGATGGCGCGAAAAATAACATCGGTGTGCAGCGCGCAACGATGTTTACCCTGATTGGCTGTTACGGCAGGCAGCTACTATTAATTATGTAATTACGCCAGCCGAGCGCCAATATTTGGACAACATACGAAGGGAAGCTGGGATTCACGATTGCACGCGTATAGACTCTCACCGACCGGCGCAATACTCTTCCCACTACGCCACTATTCTCAGCCCACTCTCGTCCCGTAGCCATCCGCCACGAGCAGTCATCCTCGAGGCGATCGTCGAATCGCACGCATTCCGCCGATGCCACAAGTAATGAAGCCCATTACGTCTTTGATTATCCTCGGCACAGCATCGCTAGTTTTATAGACGCATCAAGCGCCGCGTGGCACGAGTTGTGCGTGTACGCGCCGGCGCAGCGGCCAGATTCAATTAGGAGCCGAGAGCTCTGCGTATAGGGACGTGCGTCCTACGTGGGGATATCACGTACCTACGTGGGGATATCACGTACCTACGTGGGGATATCACGTAGGACGAGCGCGCGTACAATCACCGAGGATGCATCGCATGGTCGCGTGCCACGTGTTTGCCTCCCGGCCCGGGACTATGGTACCGTTTTAGCAATGTCGCACGCTGCGAGTCGCGAACGAAAAAATATTACCGACGTTTTTACGAGAGGCAAGTACATCCGACGAAAGAATGGGTAGGTTTCGTGCGTCTACAGTCAAGAAACGCGACAACGCGACGTCCATGCCCCGTTATAGCAGCAAGCCGAAGCACTGTGGCAGTCTGGCAGAAGGGGGCATTGCCACTTAATTCTGCAGGAAAGCGTGGGTGAAGTTTTTACCAAACCTTATCTAATACATATTTATGGAAGTTTCTCTGTTCGTCTGTTCTCGATTCAAATCAATATCGGCCACTCTAGATATGTCCAAGGATGATCATTAGATATAACTTTGGATACATTGGAACATGGGCACATTGGATTTTACTTCCGAGGTCATCTGACATCGCAGGAGCAACAAATGATAAAAAAAATCATGCCCCTGCAGCAGCGTTAAATTAACGCACCCCTCCAGCAGCAGTAAATAACCCGGCTCTAGATAAACGGGATTCACTTTGCACTGACTTGCATGACTGTGCAATCGTCGTTAATAGATCGATTCAAATCAATATCGGCCACTCTAGATATGTCCAAGGATGATCATTAGATATAACTTTGGATACATTGGAACATGGGCACATTGGATTTTACTTCAAAGGTCATCTGACGTCACAGGAGCAACAAATGATTAAAAAATCATGCCCCTGCAGCAGCGTTAAATCAACACACCCCTCCAGCAGCAGTAAATAACCCGGCTCTAGATAAACGGGATTCACTTTGCACTGACTTGCATGACTGTGCAATCGTCGTTAATAGATCGATTCAAATCAATATCGGCCACTCTAGATATGTCCAAGGATGGCCATTAGATATAACTTTGGATACATTGGAACATGGGCACATTGGATTGTACTTCCGATGTCATCTGACGTCGCAGGAGGAAAAAATGATAAAAAAAATCATGCCCCTGCAGCAGCGTTAAATCAACGCACCCCTCCAGCAGCAGTAAATAAACCGGCCCTAGATAAACGGGATTCACTTTGCACTCACTTGCATGACTGTACAATGCGCGTAACATTGAGTTACTAAACATGCATTATATGTTACATGCGCATGTCAATGTCGTAACAACATTCACCTTACACTGACTTGATACAGAGTGTGCAAGACTATAGCACTATAGACTGTAGAGTGCGATAGATGGATAGATAGATAGATAGATGGATAGATAGATAGATAGATAGATAGATAGATAGATAGATAGATAGATAGATAGATAGATAGATAGATAGATAGATAGATAGATAGATAGATAGAT